CTGTTGCAAAAACATGGGCTAGTCTGGAAACTACGCGAGTCTCTGAAACCAAGCTGATACAATGGCTTTTCACAGGCGTCTACAAAAGCATTTGGGACAACGACGCAGCAAGTGACTAATGCAGCAGTTGATAGAGGCTTTTAATAATGTGTGGGGGTACAATAACATCAGGTTCTTTTCCTTCTTCTGCTCCATACGGAGAACGAGTCTCGCGTTGTCGAGGCGAGCCGGTCATGGTTCGTTGTGGAATGCCTCGGGGTTCCGGCGAGTGAGCAGCAATTAATTGAAATAGGCTGCATAATGTTCAATAATCCTGGAAACCATGCATTTCATACAATTCCACGGTCGCGGCATGGTGTATGAGCACTGCGGTGCCGAACGAGGTCCTGTGGGACACCAGCTGCAGGCCGGCGTTCCGTCTCAACTCAGCGATCAGCGCAGGAAAACATGTATTTACTGTTCATTGTAGCATTCTTAATAAAGCATAACCAGGTTTTCGAATGGGAAATAGGCTGCCTTTTCCCCAGCAAAAAGCCTGCCTCGCTGCCGGCAGTGGAAGTGCAAGACTTGCATTCGTGTTCTGCGAGCTCATTGCTTCGGTGTCAATGTTCCCTCACCATGTCTAGAATATTTTGTATTGTAATAATAATATGTATTGTTTTTTAGTTATTTGTCGTCTGCTGGGATCGCAAGAGGCTGCGTAGCTCAGTCGCAGTGCGCCGGCCTGCCCACCAGGAACAGGAACAGCGTCATGTGCACCCCAGGCGCCGACCGCCTCAGAGCCTCTGAAGCAAGCAATAAGGTCATAGTTAATGTGGTTTGAAAATGATTGATGCATCTTGATGAACTTTCGGGTTGCATCTGCGCTTCGCGTTCGGCTACGTAAACAACCCTACAGTGGGAATGGCGCCCCTCAAACTGCTCACAGTCGTCAGTTCCTCGCTCTTCCTCCTAGCCAGAGCCAACGGCAATCCCGTCAGCGATCCCCCAGCCGACCAGACAACTTATAATGTAGCCTTGGGTAGGTTTCCGAGCAACATGTGTTCTTCTGTGCTTGGCATTTCTCGCTGGGCACGAGCCCGTCACCTGGCAAGTCCAGCATAGTGTGCGGAACAGGGCACAATTCCAGGGAAGAACATGCAGGCTTTCCGCGAATCTAAAAGTCTCAGCGTAAAATTTTTTGATTGCAAAGGATTCGTCACGAATGCGGAGTGATTTGCTCTCTTTGCTGCAGGAGATGAGGGAAAGTGCCTCGAGGAGGTCAATGCTGCCCGTGTGGCGGCTGGGTTCAGCGAACTCACAAAAGCAACTAAAGCAACAAGCAGGCTGCCTAAAGGAGGCGATTTCCCGCAAGACGAACAAACTAACTGGGCCTGGAAGCCTGTGTGCGAAGCCTTGATTCCAGTAGGTCGTTTACACCACTAACTGCCCTCCAAAGGGTACTTCCCGTGTGCCCAATTCACCTCGGTGTTTGCCAGTTCTCCTGCTGCCTCCAGACCAAGACAAAATCAAGGAGCGCTACAGACACTGAGGATAAAGCTGAGTTCCAGAGCGGCACATACGCATACCTTGCGATTGACGATGCCGATTCCGTGGACTGCAAGGCCGTTGTGGATAAGTGGAAGGACGCCTACAGCAACTTTGATGGATTGCCTCCGGCTAACAAGGAAGGCGAGCAGCTTTACGACACTCAGGAGAACGTATCTTTCGTGGCCCTGTACAACCCTACAAAGGATGCTACTGCAGACTGTCGTGTCGTCACCTGCACTAAAAAGACGTCTGCAGCCGGAGCGGCAGCCGCCAGCGCAAGAGGCAACGCTGAACAAAACACCGAAACAGCCTCGGCTTTGATTTGCATGACCGCACCTGATGTACTTGCCGACGGAGCGAAGGCCCCTTTCACGTGAGTTTTCTCAAGCCCTACGTTTTCTATTTCTCCCTGTTCTGTTCTGACTGGGGATTGTTTTTGTTTCTCGGTGTGTGTTCTGCAGAGAGGAGCAGTGGGAACAGATCGTGACCGCTCTCGA